AGATAGGATCCATGTATGAAAACAAAGTATGGACTTTGACTGACTTGCCCGTTGAGCAGCGAGCCATAGAAAATAAATGGATCTTTAAGAGGAAGACAGACGCGGATGGTAATGTGACCATCTATAAAGCTCGGCTTGTCGCTAAGGGTTATCGACAAGTTCAAGGGGTTGACTACGATGAGACTTTCTCACCGGTAGCGAAGCTGAAGTCCGTCCGAATCATGTTAGCAATTGCCGCATTCTATGATTACGAAATATGGCAAATGGACGTCAAAACGGCATTCCTTAATGGTTTCCTTAAGGAAGAATTGTATATGATGCAGCCGGAAGGTTTTGTCGATCCTAAGAATGCTGACAAAGTGTGCAAGCTCCAACGCTCGATTTATGGGCTGGTGCAAGCATCTCGGAGTTGGAACATTCGCTTTGATGAGATGATCAAAGCGTTTGGGTTTACACAGACTTATGGAGAAGCCTGCGTTTACAAGAAAGTGAGTGGGAGCTCTGTAGCATTTCTCATATTATATGTAGATGACATACTTTTGATGGGAAATGATATAGAACTCTTGGACAGCATCAAGGCCTACTTGAATAAAAGTTTTTCAATGAAGGACCTTGGAGAAGCTGCTTATATTAGGCATCAAAATCTATAGAGATAGATCGAGACGCCTCATAGGTCTTTCACAAAGCACATACCTTGATAAGATATTGAAGAAGTTCAATATGGATCAATCCAAGAAGGGGTTCTTGCCTGTGTTGCAAGGTATGAAATTGAGCTCAGCTCAATGTCCGACCACGGCAGAAGATATAGAAGAGATGAGCGTCATCCCCTATGCCTCAGCCATAGGTTCTATTATGTATGCCATGCTGTGTACCAGACCTGATGTAAACCTTGCCGTAAGTTTGGTAGGAAGGTACCAAAGTAATCCCGGCAAGGAACACCGGACAGCGGTCAAGAATATCCTGAAGTACCTGAAAAGGACTAAGGAAATGTTTCTCGTTTATGGAGGTGACGAAGAGCTCGTCGTAAAGGGTTACGTCGACGCTAGCTTCGACACAGATCTGGATGACTCTAAGTCACAAACCGGATACGTGTATATTTTGAATGGTGGGGCAGTAAGCTGGTGCAGTTGCAAGCAAAGCGTCGTGGCGGGATCTACATGTGAAGCGGAGTACATGGCAGCCTCGGAGGCAGCACATGAAGCAATATGGGTGAAGGAGTTCATCACCGACCTGGGAGTCATACCCAATGCGTCGGGGCCGATCAAGCTCTTCTGTGACAACACTGGAGCTATTGCACTTGCCAAGGAGCCCAGGTTTTCACAAGAAGACAAGGCACATCAAGCGTCGCTTCAACTCCATTCGTGAAAATGTTCAAGATGGAGACATAGAGATTTGTAAAGTACATACGGACCTGAATGTAGCAGATCCGTTGACTAAACCTCTCCCTAGAGCAAAACATGATCAACACCAGAGTTCCATGGGTGTTCGATTCATCACAATGTAACTAGATTATTGACTCTAGTGCAAGTGGGAGACTGTTGGAAATATGCCCTAGAGGAAATAATAAAAGCATTATTATTATATTTCCTTGTTCATGATAATTGTCTTTATTCATGCTATAATTGTGTTATCCGGAAATCGTAATACATGTGTGAATAACAGACACCGACATGTCCCTAGTGAGCCTCTAGTTGACTAGCTCGTTGATCAACAGATAGTCATGGTTTCCTGACTATGGACACTGGATGTCATTGATAACGAGATCACATCATTGGGAGAATGATGTGATGGACAAGACCCAATCCTAAACATAGCACAAGATCGTATAAGTTCGTTTGCTAGAGTTTTCCAATGTCAAGTATCTTTTCCTTAGACCATGAGATCGTGTAACTCCCGGATACCGTAGGAGTGCTTTGGGTATGCCAAACGTCACAACGTAACTGGGTGACTATAAAGGTAGACTACGGGTATCTCCGAAAGTGTCTGTTGGGTGACATGGATCAAGACTGGGATTTGTCACTCCGTATGACGGAGAGGTATCACTGGGCCCACTCGGTAATGCATCATCATAATGAGCTCGGAGTGACCAAGTGTCTGGTCACGGGATCATGCATTACGGTACGAGTAAAGTGACTTGCCGGTAACGAGATTGAACGAGGTATTGGGATACCGACGATCGAATCTCGGGCAAGTAACATATCGATAGACAAAGGGAATAGCGTACGGGGTTGATAGAATCCTCGACATCGTGGTTCATCCGATGAGATCATCGTGGAGCATGTGGGAGCCAACATGGGTATCCAGATCCCGCTGTTGGTTATTGACCGGAGAGTCGTCTCGGTCATGTCTGCTTGTCTCTCGAACCCGTAGGGTCTACACACTTAAGGTTCAGTTACGCTAGGGTTGTAGGGATATGTATATGCAGTAACCCGAATGTTGTTCGGAGTCCCGGATGAGATCCCGGATGTCACGAGGAGTTCCGGAATGGTCCGGAGGTAAAGATTTATATATGGGAAGTCCTGTTTCGGGCATCGGGACAAGTTTCGGGGTTATCGGTATTGTACCGGGACCACCGGAAGGGTCCCGGGGGTCCACCGGGTGGGTCCACCTGTCCCGGGGGGCCACATGGGCTGTAGGGGGTGCGCCTTGGCCTAATGGGCCAAGGGCACCAGCCCCACATAGGCCCATGCGCCTAGGGTTTGAAGGGGAAAGAGTCCTAGGAGGGGAAGGCACCTCCTAGGTGCCTTGGGGGGGAGGGAAACCCCCCTTGGCCGCCGCACCCCCTAGGAGATTGGATCTCCTAGGGCCGGCCACCCCCCCTTGGCACCCCTATATATAGTGGGGGAGAGGAGGGACTTCATACCTGAACGCCTAGGCCTTTGGTTGCCTCCTTCTCCCTCCCCAACAGCTCCTCCACCTCCATAGTGCTTAGCGAAGCTCTGCCGGAGTACTGCAGCTCCATCAACACCACGCCGTCGTGCTGCTGCTGGTGCCATCTCCCTCAACCTCTCCTCCCTCCCTTGCTGGATCAAGAAGGAGGAGACGTGGCTGTTCCGTACGTGTGTTGAACGCGGAGGTGCCGTCCGTTCGGCGCTGGTCATCGGTGATTTGGATCACGTCGAGTACGACTACATCATCACCGTTCTTTTGAACGCTTCCGCTCGCGATCTACAAAGATATGTAGATGCATCTAATCACTCGTTGCTAGATGAACTCCTAGATGATCTTGGTGAAACGAGTAGGAAATTTTTTGTTTTCTGCAACGTTCCCCAACATATCCCGCCCGAACAGACACCGCAAACGCAAGGACAACGAGCATGACTCAGAAGCACATGTATCTACTGGTATATGAGTGAGATGAAACATTGTTAACTCTCATTTAGATAATAATTAGCAAACCAATCCGAAACGGGACCTAGATCGCGTCGGAAAAACGTTCCAACAAAGACACATGCGCGAACAAGTAGACAAGAAGACACCAAACACACGACGCGACTTAGAGCGCGCGTGACAAAATAACCCGCAATCTAGATTTGCACAATATTTAAAAAGAACATATGACAAAGTGGAAACAAGTTCATGAATTTAAAAGTATAAATGACGAATAAAAATAAAAATAAAAAGGTGAGAATAGAAAACATAAATGAAAAATCATGAATTTAAAATAGTTCATAATTTAAAACAAATAATGAAATAGAAAAAAGAAAAAAGAAAAAGACAAACAAAACAGAAATGAAAAGAAAATACAGGGAGTCAAATGGGACATGGGATTGTAGAAAAACGAGAGGAACTTGGACTGAGTGTAACACAGACTTTTGAAAAGAAATAGAAAAAGGCAAGAGAACCTCGCACCAACACCGACCTTCAGGAGTATAGGCTCGCGAAAACCAACAACGTACCAACCTCGACCAGCAATGACCCGGACACAGGCAGCGCGAGACAACGCGCCGCGAGCCAGCGCAACAGCTAGACCATTGTGTTTTTCACAAATATTAAAGATATAGCTGATCCAATGGCTCTGGATTTAGATGTGAGATAATTATTTTACATCTAGATGTGAAATAGCAAACCCGTTTTGCTAATATCATAGCAGGGGTGGAGCTAGAAAATTTAGCCGATGGGTTCATTAGTTGACTGATTGTGGGGATTTAGTCCCTTTTTTTTTCTGCACCACCTTGCATCAAATATATAGCACTCGGTTTCAAAGAAGAAAAATATAGCACTTAAAAAATGCAAAACAGATTGAAATATAATATGACTTATGAATAGCAAAGGCGGAAATATTATCATTTCTTATTCCGCACCAACACATTTAACTAGTAATTTTAAAAACATACTGATTAAATTGTGTGATTATGGAGTTAACCTAGGTCTGGTGCATCTAGCCATTGGAGAATGACCCAAATATATGTGAATCGCTGCCAAAAATTGACAAGTCGCCATATTCCAATTACCAAGTAATCACTCTTAAAATTAAAAACCCTAGCCATACATTTTAGGAAGCAAAAATTAGACAAAGCGGAGGCACGCGCTCTGTAGAAATTGATGACTTACCTCTTCAGAAATATGATGCACGTATCATAGCATTCACGTGGAGATGGATTCCCTAGCTGTTGCCCGTAAGTCGGATTTTTGTATTTAAGCAGCGTGTACAGTGAGTACGTGAACTAACAGTGTCGATTGGAGGTCCGTCCCATTCCCCTCACGTAGGCATGCATTGGTCAGTGGTGTTCAAGGGTCGCAAGGGCCGTTCGGATTCCCGAATGAGCTCCTGGTGTGATTGAACTGCTCAGCTTCTCCATGCATGCACCTCCTAGGAAGTCGATCCGTCAAGTGTAAACACGCTCCACGCGCATTGATTCCAGTGCATGAAACACAGTGTCACCGCCGGTTCGCTGCATACTTATAAACCCAAGAGCCGGCCGCGCCTCGCCTCCGCTAACATAGCTCTGTAGCCATCTACTTCGAAGCACTGAGAAAATCTTGGAGCTTCGCGCTGGATGGAAGCCGCCGACGAGCTGAAGCGTGCACGTGGCGGCGGCGGCGGCCTTGGGCATTCCGTGGACCGGCTGAGTGCACTGCCGGACGACATCCTGCACGCCGTCCTTTCGCGCCTCAATGCCCGGCAGGTCGTGCGGACGTGCGTGCTGTCCACGAGGTGGAGGCATCTCTGGCGCTCCGTGCCCTGCCTCCGCATCGACCAGCGGGAGTTCCATGCCGCCGACGGCTCCCTTGCCGAGCGGCAGCAGTTCAAGAACTTCACCCACATCCTGCTGCACCGCCATGACGTCGCGCTCCTAGAAGATTTTCGTCTCCTCGTGCACCATGGTAGTGATATGCCTCACTATGACGACAGCTGGGTCCGCCGCGGCATAAGTCAAGATGAGACATGGCCATGTCGGCTCAAAAAATTGCACCTTACCAACGTGTTTTTGGATGGTTATTTCTTGAGGCACATCAATTCGCGGTGCCCTGCTCTGGAGGACATGAAACTGGAAAACTGCAGCTACTTGCTCACCGATGATACTAGCATCTCCTCCCCCTCGCTGAAGAAATTGGTTATCATCGGGTTCCGCCGTTCATCACTGGAGAGCTTTTTTTGCCATTTGATTTTGGAGGCTCATGCTCTTGCTTCCCTCGGCCTGGAAGGGGGTTATTTTGATATCATCGATACATGCCTGCCAAATTCCATGCCATCTCTTGTCGATGCATCAATCCGTCTGACTGAGAGCGAGGAGTTCAACTACAACAACGATGGACATAACTACCAGATTCGGAAGCAATTGTCTTTCCTCGAAGAGCTTTCCAACGTGACCAGTTTAAGTTTGGCTCGTTTCGGGGTCATGGTACATCTATTCTCAGTTTCTGCCTATCGATATCCTCCCATGTATTCAGCTTGTCTCTTCTTTATCTATGTTCATTTACTGATCAGAAATTTAATTATGTGTGTATGTTTCAGTTTCTTGTCATTGATGATGATGCTGGTCATTACTTCCCTGAGTTCAAAAACCTCAAGAAATTGTCCCTGGTCGAGTGTGATATCAGTGATGACTTCCTCACGCTGGAGCATTTCCTGCGGAACTCGCCTGAGCTGGAGAAGCTCACTTTGCGCTGTTGCAAGGTGCTACTACAACATCTTCTTTCATACCTCAGTTTAGTAAGTAATATTAATTCTTTTATTCTGTCAACAGCTCTCGGATTCCAGACCTAAAAGATCTAGAAAGAGGATAATGGAAAAGGCTCACTCATATTCCAATGGCATGGCAAGTATTGAGTGCAAGAACCTCAGGCTCACTGAAGTCATATATGACGATGATGATGTCCACCTATTAGTCAAGTTTTTGTTGGGCATGTCGAAGAATATGCCAAACAATAAGATCGAGATCACTAAATTTGATTAGCAATACCGCATCCATATGTCAGCTTGTCCAGAAACTACTATGTTGTCTACTGGTTAATGGTTTCCTAGTTTAGATGCCACAGCGCATCGCCAAGTTTACCATTTGTTCTTTCTTAAAGTCCGAGCTTCGATTTTGATCTATTCTTAAAAATATGCAATCTTGTACTCCCTCCGTCCGGTGAAGAGTGTACGTTTGGGTTTAAAAATTGTCCACAAAGAGCATACTCCTATCTTTCCAATGCATTTTAAAGTAGAAAAGAAGTTTTCTCTCATCACACAGTAATCAATACCAATAACATTCTATACATAGTCTTCTTAATTTCTACATGCACTTAGTTCATTGGGGGTTGGATAATTCAAGAGGAGAGAGATGGTGGATTGCATATTCGCAATGCATTTTTTACTCTACTCCATAATTTATCCTAAAATTTTTAGATGTACACTTTTCACCGGACGGAAGGAGTATGGCTCTTAGTGCAGCTCATACCCTAGTTAAGGAAGGATGTTGCATGGAACTGTGCAAGGTCACGGTTTCTAGGTACGTACGCCCAGATTGTACTGTGGATGCATGCTTTGCACTCGGATTAGGCTGAGATATATATGAATAAATAGTAAGTCTGAAATAAACCCTGGTTGTAGAGGCCATTGCAATCCTGCATGGCTCTTACTGCTGCTCATGCCCTAGCTAAGGAAGGATGTCGCGTGGAACTGTGCAAAGTCATGGTTTCCAGGGTTAGTTTGCTAGGGTTGTATCGATGCTCCCGTCCGTGGGCCTTGCATGGCCCTCGGAGCGTCTTATCCTTATTCTCTTTTTCCTTTCCCCCCGTGGGGTGTGTAATGGCCTTAGGCCCGCTAGTGCCTTAAGACTAGCTACAGTGGAAGTAACTTCAGCAGTAACATCGAGTCCAACTCAACAAATTTGCTTATGTGGCAGTGAGTTAATAAGCAGAGAGGTAGTTATAGTGACTTAGCTAGTTACTCCCTCCGTCCGGGTTTATTAGGTCTAAAGACAACTTCTTTTAGACCAAGACACATATTAATTTGCTCACATTAATTCTTCCATTTCACTCCCAATGCACTCTCTCACATGCATGCAGCCAATAAAAAAGCACGCATGAAGTGTATTAATTTTCTAGTCATGGCACCAACAACAATGGCTTTCAATGCAACCAATGAAATGGTTAATTTGCATGCACCTTTTCAAAGCGAGGCCTTATAAAAAGGGACATGCTTGTGATGCTAAGAGGCCTAATAAACCCGGACGGAGGGAGTACTGTAACATCACATGTCCCAATACAATATGAGTCTATAACCTAATAAATAAAGCTTTGCATGTTACCACACTTATGTTACTACCCACTATGAAGGTAGTAACATAGTCTAGGGATATGTGTATGTTACTCATCATTGTGGCTAGTCTAAGGCCCTTCCCAGTGCTCCACGGTGTACAGGTGCTAAGGGTGCCACATAGGCAGAAAAATGATGTGGCACAATAATTAAAGAGGAGAAAGAGCATTGTGGTGACCCCAATAAGAACCAATGCTAAGCACGTGAACCTAGACAAAAAGACTACCAACCAATACATGAAGAAGTTTTAATATTAAACAATTAAATAGAGGAGGCTTAGCTACAAAACCTAAGCATCAATGCATTGGGGACATTAGTTGCTAAGCATTTTAATGCACTTAGCACCCCACTTTAGCACCAATGCATTGGGAGAGGTCTAAACAACCCTGTTGCTTATTACTTCCTGCTTTTCCTCTTTCTTTGGTGCTTTCCAGCCCCATCAGGAGCGCTCTTTTCTCTGTGTGTACTTGGAACGTCCGTGGGCTGGGTGAGTCGCGTAAATGTATCAACGTCCGCGCTAACATCGAGGCCATGCAGCCTACCTTCCTCGCGATCCAAAGAAACGAAACTAGAGCACCCGCCTCCCTCCAAAACTGACTCGTTCTTGCCCTCCTCTCTTCGTACGTTCCTCGCCATCGATTGCACTGGTGCTTCCGGAGGAATTTGTTCTGCCTGGAATGCCAACTTTTTCTCTCTTATCCACCATCTCGCCACTGGTGCGTTCCTCCTTGAGCTTGCCGGGCATGCCCCTCTCAGCTCTATCCCTTGGGCCATTGTGGGGGATTTCAACCTCATCCGATCTCCGGAGGATCGTAGTAACGATAGTTTTTTCTCGGACCGAGGCCATGTGGTTTAATGACTTCATTAATGACCTCGCACTCATCGACCTCCCCCTTCATGACCGCCAATTTACATGGTCTAACCGCCAAAACTCCCCCATCCTTGCGCGCCTCGACCGAGTCCTTGTCAGCGTTGCTTGGGACTCTCGGTTCCCCACCTCCACGCTTGCTTCTTTCACCCGTTCCACCTCCGATCATGTCCCCCTCATCGCCACCATCTCCTCCACGGCGCCCAAAACTCGTATTTTTCGGTTTGAGAAATCTTGGACCCTTCATCCGTCTTTTCGTGCCGCCATGTGCACCGCTTGGACCTCGATGTTTCGCCCTGATGCCACTGCTCGACTCGTGGCGTGTCTATGGCAGTGCCGCCTTAGCTGCAAACGTTGGACTTGGCGGGTCGCTCCGGCGGCTCAGCGAGAGCAGGATTGCCGCGTGCTTATTGACATCCTTGATCGGACTAAGGAGCTCCGCCACCTCTCCCCATTGGAAATCCTCCTTCGCGCTCTTACTGTCGATGCTCTGCATGCCTCTGTCAAAGAACACGTCGTCTACTAGAAGCTCTGGGCTAAGTTTCGCTATGCCTTGGAAGGCGACGAGAACACGGGGTTTTTTCATGCCTCCGCTTCTGCCCGTTTCCGTCGAAACTGCATTCATGTCCTTTGCGTGGATGGTCGTGAGATTTCCTCTCACTCTGACAAAGCGTCTTCTCTCCGAGACTACTACAAGGCTCTCCTCGGCACCACTGCCGTCTGCGGTTGGACTTTCTCTCTCTGCCTTGTATCCCGACACGAGTCCCCTTCTCGCTTCCCTTTCGGCCCCCTTCACCGCTGACGAGGTTAGGGCAGCTTTTTTTTGACATGAATCGCCTCTCTAGCCCCGGGCCAAACGGCTTCGGTCCTTCTTTCTGTGTCACCTTTTGGGACGTTCTCTCTGCTGACGTCCAGGCAGTTTTCCATGACTTCTACACTAGCAAAATCAATCTCACCAGGATAAATCGAGCCTTTTTGGTTCTCCTGCCTAAGTCCGAGGTGACCCGGTCCCGTTCTGACTTTCGGCCGCTCTCTCTCCAAAACTGTGTCATGAAGGCCATCACCAGGGCTCTCTGCACTCGCCTTCAGCGGCACATCCACTCCCTGGTGGACCCGGACCAGACAGGCTTCCTTCCCGGTAGGTGCATTTCCGAGAACATCATCTACGCTGCCGACCTTCTCCGGGCCTGCCACTTGCGCAAGGTCCCCATTGTGGTTTTCGAAATTGACTTCCGCAAAGCTTTCGACTCTGTCAACTGGTCGAGCCTCCTCCTGATCTTGTCTGCGCGGGGGTTTAGCGACCGCTGGTGTGGTTGGATCAAGGCCATCTTGTCCACTGGGCATACGTCTATCCTTCTCAACAACACTCCGGGGGACTGGATCCTCTGCCAAAATGGCCTTCGCCAGGGTGACGCCCTTTCTCCCTATCTTTTTATCATCGTGGCCGATGTTTTGCAGCGCATGGCCCGAGTGGCTAGTACCGCTGGCCATCTGTCGCACCCCATCGATCCCACCCTTCCTTGCCCCGTCCTTCAGTACGCTGACGACACCCTTATCCTTTGTCATGCGAACGTCCCCTCTATTACGCACCTCAAAAGCATCATCGATGCTTTTGCCCGTGCGACCGGGCTAGTGATCAATTTCCACAAGTCCGGGTTTGTTCCCATGCATTGCACCTCCAAGTTGTCGGCAGAGTTGGCCTCCATCTTAGGGTGCCCCATCTCTTCTTTCCCCCAACCTTACCTAGGGCTACCCTTGTCCCCACTCAAGCTTCCCACCTCCGCCTACGACCCCCTCCTCAAATCTTTTGACCTCTATCTGTCGGGTTGGCGAGCTCTCCTTCTCTCGTCGGGTGGTAGACTTGTTCTTTGCAACGCTATTCTTAATAATCTTCCAACTTACTTTATGTGTTCTTATTTGCTGCCCACTGGAGTGATTGAGCATATTGATCGTAGGCGCCATTCTTTCTTTTGGACCGGCAAGGATACTTGCTCCGGGACTCGCTGTTTAATTGCTTGGGACAAAGTGTGTGTTGATGTGCAGGAAGTTGGCTTCGGCATCCGTGATCTTCGACGACAAAACATGTGCCTCCTTCTTCATTTTGTGGACGTTCTTCACCGCCCCGACTGCCCGCCGTGGAAGAGGTGGTTCCTCAGCAACCTCCGCGGCGACATTGGCGATGCATGCTCGACGCCATCGCTCCTTCAGACGATCATCCAGGCTGCTCTGCCTACCTCCAGGAGTATTACTTGGGTGCATCTGGGGGATGGGCGCACCACTTCTTTCTGGCAGGACAGGTGGCTTCCCGGCGGTGCACTCTGCTTCGTCTTCAAGGTGCTCTTCTCCCACTCGACGCGGCCCAACGAGACGGTTGCTGGGGTCTTCGAGTCCGGCCTTGCTCTCCAGCCGAGGCTGTCCGCGGTGGCGGCCGCCCAGCTCGGCTCCGTACGGGAGCTTCTTCGCTCTGTGCGTCTGGTGGACGCGCACGACCGCCGTGTCATGGCCTGGGGGTGAGACCTCTCGTTTAGCTCTCGGGCGGCGTTCCGTGTCCTGTCGCTACACGACATCCGCGATCAGGACTCCATCGACCTCTGGGACTCCCGGCTTCCCAACAAGATCAAGATCTTTGCTCGGCTTCTTCTCGGCAACCGGCTTAGCACGCGCGCTAATATGTTTGCCAAGAATTGTGCTCCGTCACCTGAATGTGCCTCATGCCATGACGACGAAACAACGGACCACCTCTTCGCCTCCTGCCCGCAGGCGCCTCGTGTCTGGTCGCGACTCGACATGGGCCCCTTCCTCTCCGTGGCGGAGATTGTTTCCGAGCAACCCCGGGCTCCACTGGATGCTGCTGCTTGGCGGGCTGGCCTCTACATCCTCCTTTGGCATGTGTGGAAGGCACAATGCTGTGTCCAACTTCATCGTCTGTGAGCCCAAGGATGCTCTCCGACGTGCGGCCGACGACACGCTGCTTTGGGCGCGACGCTTCGATGACGTTGTGCGCGACCAACTCCTCCTGTTCCGCTCCCTCCTCATCGCGGCTTCCTAGCCTCCTTGTTTTTCACTTTTCTCTCTATCTTGTTTTTATCTCCTCGA